TGGGGGGCCGCGCCTCCCCGCCGGCTTATCGCCGGCCTTGAGCAGCCAGTATTACTGCTACCGCTTCTGCCAGGTGAGCGCCTGGCCCCGCCCCCTCTAGGTTGGCTGACACTTGGCCGGGGGCGGTGAAGAAAGGGAAGGAGGAGGGGGGGACGTGCAAGGGACTCGGTCTTGGGAGTATCGGCGGGTGCGGTGGGGCCCTCCCCAGGCCGCCCCCTTGCGAGGAGACGGCCCGACGGTCGAAGCTGTGGGGACGAGCGAGCGACCGACGCTGCAACCCCTTCTTCGCCAAGGCAGGAGGTGGGGGGGGTGAGAGAGAGGAAGAGAGAGAGAGAGAAAGAGGTTTCCCCGTCACTTTCCTCTTTTCTTTCCTCTTTTCTTTCCTCAGCCTTCTCTCCCCCGCCCTCCACCCACACGGCGTCAAGAGCTTCCCCAAGACTCTCTCCTTCGTTGCCATTCGTGAAGGGCTGGGGGAAAGTTGGTCTCCCCAACGCCCGCCCCCCTCCCTCAGGAATTCTCTCTCTCTCTCGTCCTCCTTGTCTCTGACCTGTTCTTGTTCGGGCGGGGAGGTTGTTAACGTTACTGGCCTCTCTTGAGTCTGACCTAGGAATTCACCTCTAGTCATCTCTTTTTTTGGGGGGGGGGTCTGTTGTTGAGGCAGGCGGGGGGGGAGAGACTGAGGGACACCCCCTTCCATCCTTTCCTCAGTTCGTCTCTTGTAGAAGCTGGGTAGGGTGGGGGGGTGTCTCCCCCAAGTGAGGAACACCCCGGATGCTCCTGTCAGTGACGAGGGTGGTATTGTTTACGGATGTTGTGCCAAAAAGAAAGGGTGGGTCTCTTCTAGGCAATCTTTTCTGGCCTTTGAGGGTTTTTTTAAAAAATAAACACTGATTTCATTTTATTTTTCTTCTCCTTGTATTTTTATTTTCGTAAGGGAGTGATAGTCCAAACATATTAATGGAACTACTATGAATCCTATCCAATTTACCCTGATTGATCAGTTGAAAATGTGATATCCTTTAAGACTGTGTATGTGCTCAGAAGGGATGCTTGGTTAGCTCTCTGGTCTTAATTTATTACTAAATTGTGTAACTGCTCAAGTATTGGTGACCAGTACTCTTTTTTTACTGGTTAATAATGCAGCTTACCCTGTGGTATTCAGTTCTAGTGCAGAACATGTTTTGAAACAAGTTCTGTTGTATTTGCTAATAAATGGGTTCTCTTATTTCAGAAGAGACAGGTGCATATTTAAAATGGTTTGTGAAAAGAATCATGTGTGCAGGTGGTTCTCTTCATAATCTGATATTGTAAAGTAGTGTTGTATCCTATGTCTGATATGCCAGTATTTGCTTAGCTTAAAGTTTGTGTGACTACATTAACATTGCCCCTCCCCCAGGTTTAGTAATTATGAAGGTGGTAGCAATATCTGTCTACTTTATAGACTTGCAGAAAGCATTACTGAGGTAATTACAACTCAGTCTAAAGATGCTGTGTACGTATATACATACAGTATTTGTGTGTGTATATGTATTGTTTACAAGTGCTGTTGCATAGGCAGCATCTTTATAAGTTGGCTTAGAATTGGCCCGATGTCAATCACTGAACATCCTTGACAGGTGCTGGACTTGATGATCCATAGGATTCCTTCCAGCTGTGCTGTTCTGAGATTAAGATTATAAAATTGATTCTCAGTGTAAAACCAGGATACTAAAGAGGGGTGGAAAAGCCCAACGTTTTGTAATCCTACAGTTGCACTTCTTTTAATTTGTTTAGGGTGCAATCCTACATTTGCTTACTGGGATCTAAGGCCCATTAAGTGAAACTGGACTTGTTCTTTAGTGATATGTGTCTGTACAAGATTGTGCTGTTTCATGTAGTCATCCATTTGATATTGACCACAATAAGACTGTAACAGTGTTGAATATCCCTGTTATTTTGTCAACATAGAAACTGGTTTGTAGTTTATGTGCTGAGGTGAAGATTCTCATTGTTATAACTTAGGTTTGCTCTTTATATTAGGGAAGCATCTTTGTTAGGATAAATATAATATACGGTAAATACTAAAACTGAAATCCTAATATCTTTTCATTCATAAATCTTAGACATTTCTTTCAATTTGATGTTTGAGATTTATATTGACAAATATTTAACACACCTTCCTGATCTTTGCTTTATATTCTTGATTATCTGTTAATCTGGCACAAGGATGACCCTCTTCTGAAGACCCTCTTTGGTCTTTTTTTCTTCATACTTTTTTTTGTCTAAGAATAGCAATTTCTTCTTCCATTGTTTGAGAAAGCTTTTGTAATGAAGGGCTTCCTAATTACTGTGGTCAGACAGTATTAGATGTTCTATTTCTCTTTGTGCAATCATTTTATATAATAAACTTTTTTTATCTGGTCTTGAGTGGTTTAACTATAAATACAAACGTGATGAGCATCAACACATGTCCCTCAGTTTTCTTGATCTGATAACCGTGGTCAAGTGCTGAATATAATACAGTGATTTTTATATATTTCAATGGAACAGAAAGAGGTGTTGCTATATAGTCACTGTGTTTCAGGGAGGTCTGAATGTCATGCATGTACTGACATGCTGTGGTTTTTGGGCAAGTAAAAAAACATTCTTAATATGATGGTTGCCTTACACAAAAAGGGAGAGATGGTATAGATGCAAGAGATCAGTGTCTATGTTATATGCCGTCAACTTGCTTCTGACTTACGGTGTCTTATGAATTAATGACTTCCAAAAGGCCTTATTGGCAGCCTTGTGCAGGTCTTCCCAACTAAGGCCTGTGGCTTCCTTTATTGAGCCAATACATCTTAGACTAGGTCTTTCTGTTTTCCCAGTACAGTATCTCCAGTTTTTTACAGTTTGATTATGATAACACATAAAAGTACCATAGTCCATTTAATCATTTTAGGTTCTGGTTGCAAGTGTATGCCTAATTTGTTCTAAAATCCATTTATTTGTTTGTTTTTGCTGTCCATAAAACTCTACTCCAATATCAAATTTCAGATAAATGCATTTTTCCTGTTAGCTTTCTCCATTTTGTTCTTGCATCTGTACACAGTAATGTGGAATACAATCATCTGAATTATCTTGACTCCTAAGAATCCTGTTTAATACCTTCATAGTTGCTCTTCCAAGTCTCAATCTTCTGTTAAATTCTGGATCTCCAAGGCAGCAATATTGAAATAGAAATAAAGTCATGTTCTGTACATGGGTATACTTTTTTTCAAGTTACTTGTCTTAGTTTGTTTGTTAGTTTATTTATTTATTTTTCCTTCTTTTACCCCACCCATCTAGATTCAATGAATCTACTCTTGGCAACTTATATTCCGAATATAAAACAAAATTTAAAACACACATATTTAGTTACCTAAATGTGCTTACAGTGCAAGAAGCTCATCTACCAAGTTCAGTCCTAATTTGTAATTGGATGCTGTGATAATAAGCCTGTTCTAAGTTGGTAGAGTTTGTAGGCGAAGAGTATCCATGGAGAAGATTGAGGCTAGGGACTGATTTTGTGGTATTAGGATAATTCAGTGCATCCAGTTATACATTTTCATGTTCAAGGTATATTTTGTAATACAATGGTTCTCAATTTTTGAGATCTTAAGTCTCACCAATCACTTTGTCAAACAGCTGAGTCCTATCTAGGTAGAAACAAAAAGTCCACTTTATTTTGTAAATATAATGCGTTTATGGACATTCTGTTTCTATTTTGTTTGTGGCAAATTGATGGGATTGAGAAACAGAATTAAGTGTTCAGAATTGCTACTAGAACCCATAAGGTGTCACATTATTTATAGGAGAGGATGAGATCTTAAGTCTCACCAATCACTTTGTCAAACAGCTGAGTCCTATCTAGGTAGAAACAAAAAGTCCACTTT